TTCTATTAAAATTTCCTAATAAGAAGAATCTTTAATATAAAAGACCTTCATTTATACCCAATGTAATATTAGTATACTTGAATCCTTGACATTTAATATATTTTATTTTATTAGTTATTAATATTGGTAAAAATTCATCGGTAAGAATGAGTATTTTTCTAAATATGAATATTTTACTATAATGACATAAATTATAAATATTTTTTGATATAAATAAATGATCTTAGTGAGATATAAATTACTTTAAAAATCATTAGAAAGAAAATTTTATCATAACTATAATTACTATGTTTTACAATAAATTGTGTAAAATTAAAAAACTTTCACGACCGCAATAATCACAATGATCATGATAGCAATTATTACGTTTGTAACCACGATAAACGCAATACAACCGAAAATGTGACCTCAATCGTAACTTATATCCCTGTTGGTAGCCAACAATTTTTTTCCAAAAACCTTGACAATCAAGGTTTTACCCCATTTAGCTCGGATCCTTCTTTTTTTCTTCCTTGGAAAGCATTATATTTAACTTTTTAGAATCCTCATTTGCCTCTTGCTCCCAATTCTTTTCCTTTGAGTCCATGTCCATGTTCTCCTCCTTTTTTTGTGGGAAGAAATTCTATTGATAGGCTCCATACAAAGCCCCAATGAGTGAGCCCTTGTATGAGATAATTTTCTTAAGAGAGTTTCCAACCTTACTAAAGTTTTCTTCCACATGATTATCCTCGATTCTTTTAGTACTCCTCTAAAGTTCATCTTTTTTTCATGAGAGAGTTTTACATCTATTGTAGCCATCATTTTCTATTAATTAATTTTATCTATGTATTTTCAAACTAAAAGAGGTTTATTTTAGTTTTTAAGTCATGGTTTCATTTTTAGATCTAGGCTATTCATAAACTTTTGGAAAAAAATTGAGGTTAGAATATGAAAGAGGGAACTAAAATGAGTGTAAGGGTTTTTTTACGAAGAAAATAATGCCGGTTGCCAATGAAAATTGGTGACCAATGCAATTGCTAATCGTTAAGAATTGGGTTAGATTACTACTAGAGTTTGGGTTGAGTTTTTTGTCTAAAGAGGGAGAAAAAATAAAAAGAGAAGAATAAAAAAGAAAAATAAAAATAATTGAAGGCTTTTTTTACTTACAACATTTCGTTTTCAAAGTGAGTTATGTGGGTTTTTTTTTTTTTCCTATATGTTTGGTCCATTAGAACTCTTAATTTTTGCCTCAGCATTATACATATATTGTGCTTTAACATTTAGCGTGAAACTTAAGAATAAGGATGTGAAATGTGTGGGCGTCTCTATGATTGAGTGCATGTGATGATTGAATTTTTTTTTTTCATCTTTGTTTTTTCTTGTTTTGTGAAGTTTCCCACCAAAATTTCTTCCATCTTCCTCAATCTTTTGACATTTTAGGCAAAACAAAGTCATGATCTCTCTAACCTTTACCCAACCCATAATTATCTAACCCCTTGGTTAGAATTTTGTTTTTATTTATTTACTTGATTATTTATTTGCTTATTATTACATCTATTTAAAACAATTTAATAAGATAAAATTTTAATTTTAATTTTTTTTGTATAATTGAAATATCATTTGTATTAGGTTATTAACATTTTGGAAATAAATAAATTTTTTGGCTATAATAAAAATAAGCGGAAACAAGTAGTTTTTTGTTTTAGATAAGATTTATTTGCTAAAATCTATATAATAAATAAAAACTATTCCTTATATTTTAATTTAAAGCACATAAGATTTTATATTTAAAATTATTTTAGGATTAAAAATTTCTTTATAATAATTCACTCATAATTGGATCATGATCTATCTTGATAATGACTTAAAACATTAGGATAAAAAACTACTTAACAAAACTCTTTATCCTAAAAAATATTGATAAAATAACAAATTAATATATTTTTATATCATAAAGTGAAAATTGTATATTATGATATATTATATTTTGAGATTAATTCTATAAAAAATTATAAATATGAAAGAAAAAAACCTCTACGAAGCGTGGGCTAAAACCTAGTACCTATAAAAGATAGCTTTTAATTGCATTTCTATTTTTTTCTTTATATTTTTTAATTTATTTTTCAGTGAAATTACTTAATTATTTTTTATAAGTTTTGAGATATTTATATCTGAAAAATTACATATCTTATTAGAAATGGATTTTCAAAAAGTTATATAACTTTTTAAAAACTAATTTTTGAATAAGTATATTAAAATTTTAAGAAAATTTATAAAAAAAAGAAATTTTAGTAAAAATTTTTATTAATTGGTGTAATAAAAAAATTTACTATTAGAAAAAATCATAAATTTTAAAATTAATTAAAAAAGTTAATTTTACTATTTTGACATTTGAGAAAGAATAAAATCTTATAAGGATTGAGATCATAATTAAACTAAAGATAAAATAGAAAATATAATTTTTTATAAATTTAAAATTTAAAATTTCATTTCTAAGAAAATTTTTTTTATCAATTATTAAAATTTTATAATAGTTCTAACTAAATTGAATTCCTTGGATAAGTTTCTCTATTTATTTTTTCAAAATAGATTTTTTTAATTAGGATATTAGATTTTAACAAAATTGTGTAGTATTTAATAGTATTATTTGTATAAATTCTAATAGTTTCAGCTCTCTCAGTAGTTGATTAAATTTGGTAGTTTTTTCATTATCTTTCATAATATGAAAAGATTAAATGTTTAATCAAAACCCCATAAGATTTTATTTTATTTTCTAAAATCAAAATAGAAAAATCAACTTCTTTTTTATTAATTTTAAATTTTATGATTTTTTAATAATAATTTTTATTAGATCAATTAATAAAAATTTCAAATAAAATCTCCTTATTGTAATTTTTCGTAAAAATTTATAAACTTCCTTTAGGAAGTAAATTTTTATAACCTTTCATAAATTCATTTTTTATAATTTTTTTAATTTTTAAAAATTCATTTTTAATAAGTTATATTTTTTTTCAAAAAGTTGTATAACTTGCCAATTATGGATATCCAAAATCTTATGAAAAAAAAAAATTAAGTAATTCACTTATAAAAAATTTTAATAAAAAATGGAGTGTAAATGAAAAAACAGGTGTGCATTTAAAAGCCTCTCACAAAAACGTGAAAAAAAAATGGTGCATTTAGTTGCCTTCCGCTTTTCTGTTTATATTTTTTTTTCTAAATTATCTTTAAGTAAAATTACTCATTTTTTATTTCAATTTTAAGTTTTTCTAGTATGTTGGTTTAGTTTATTATAACTTATTGGATATTTATACGGTAAATTTTAAAACTTACCAATATAAAAATCTGATAAGTAATGTAATTTATCAAAGATGCATATTCGATAAATTATATAATTTATCAAATTTTTATATTCAATAAATTTTTTTAAAAAATTACTTTTAAAATTTAGGGTTTTAAATAAAACTCATCTAATAAATATCATTTTGATCTAACAAAAAATATTTATTTAATTTTATGAGATTTTAATAAAATTTTAAAAAAATCTCATATCTTAAGGAATTTTCATATTTTGTAAAAAAATACACAATTTGTTTCAAATAATTAGAAACTCATTTATAAATCTAATATATATATATATATATATATTATATAACAATATATATAAACAAGTTTATCACGAATGTGTCAATGTAAATAATTTTTTTAAATGACACATAGAATAGTTTTTTAAAAGAATAAAATAATTTCTTTTAATTACAAATTAGATAAGTTTTAATTTATTCAAATATCAAAATTATTCAAATTATAATTTAAAATCAAATTAATTTAGATATATATATTTTAAAATTAAAAATATGAAATATGAAATATATTTTTTAATAAATAATTTTAGTTATTTACCAAATAATCTTATTTAAAAATTTATTTAATTATCAAAATCTTTCAAACATGTTTAAAAATTACAAAGATTAAGTTTATCTAAATTTTTCAACAATCTTTTTTATTTTGATTTAAAAAATTATCCTTTTAAAAATTTACATAAGATATTATAAATTCAAGTAATTTTATGTAAATTTTGAAAATTAAAAAAATTTTCATCTTAAATCTTTAAATAATAAAATTATCAAAATGATTATATCAATTTAAACTCTAATTATCAAATTTATATTTCAAATAAATGTAAAAAATTAATATTATTTTATCACTTATTATATCCATTTTAAATTTTAAAAATTATCCATTTAATCCTAATTACCACTAAAGATTTTTTTTACAAATTTAAGACTATAAATATAATGTGTTATACATTAATTTTTTTATTTTTTCAGTAACTTTTTTTAATGTATATTTTATTACTATTGCATTTTGTTTTTTTTTTGTTTATAATTTTTTTCTAAAATATATTTTATTATTATTATAGTTTTGTTCTTATGAAAAATTTTTTTTTCAAGATTACTAAAATGAAAATGTATTAATACTTCTTTTATTATTTAATTTATTATTCAATAATATTTTTTGTAAAAAAAAGACATAATTTATTTTCATTTGATATAATTTTACAAGTATATAAATATTATTGTAAACAAAAATTTCTAAACAAAAGATATAATTTTTTTTGGTTATTTTTAAAAAATTTATCTTTTAATGACAAGTCAATATATATAAATTTTATATATATTATACGTTTTAAAATTTTGAATATAAATAAAAAATTAATTTATATATATTAAATAAATAAAATTATTCCGTGTCTCACAATTTATAATCTAATTAATAAATAAAACTATAGCTTAAATAAAAAGGATATCTGATTATAGTATAAAAAACGTTAAATTTTTTCTTGATTTTAACTATACGAAAAGAGACTTTTAAAAACTTTTGAGATTTAGAAGTTTGAAGACTTTAAAAGTTTTCAAATTTAAAAATCCAAATAGAAGGGTGAATTTGAAAAAAAAAAGTAATTAAATAATTTATTTAAAAATAATTTTTAAAAAATATGAAGAGAAAAAAAATGCAAATAGAAACTAAAAAAAAAAACCTGTTTGGGTAGGGTAATCCTTTGATTTAATTTCCATCCGCAGTTTCTAAAATCAGGAACCATTGATGATTACTGGATAATGATTTCAATAAGGGTTCCTCCATAATCTCTTTGATCAGTATTACACGGAGTTTCCTCGAAGGTGAATCCCCTCTCTTCACTTCTGCAGTATTCTATGATGGAACTTAGCTTTCTTACGCCAATTTCTTTCACATTTTCTGCATTAGGGTTTTAGTTTCATGATTCCATGATCGCTTTTTCCTAAAATAATTAATCAAAAATGAATTTTTTGTTTTATTCTGGTCTAAGTTAACGCTTCACCCTTAGAGAACTCTTAGCATTGTTTGGCTTTGGCTAACTGCATTTCTTTTTTCAGACAGAATATGAAATATGTTTGTTCTTATACCCATTAACCCTCGAGGCCAAGAAAATGGTTCTATAATTCTAGTTCCCTTTGAAACAAGCAATTACATGTAATTTTTGCTTGAATTCCACTTCCGTTTACGTTTCTCTAGTTACTTTTCACTCTGAGATCACTTTCAATTCTAATTTGTAATTTTAAGAAATTTGCTCCACTGAAAAGATGTGTTTACTCTCTGTTTCGAGTTTCTTTGAGACTCAATGGGTAATTGATTTAGTTTGTAGCAAAGATTAATTGTATATGGTTGATTAAAGGTTTTGGTAGTTTGATTATAGATGGCAAGCCGAGTTACTCGCTCAAGGAGACAACAACAACCATCTCAGCAGCAGGAACAGCAGTCGAGAGCTAGATGGACAACCTTCTTGACTAAGACACTTGCTGACATGTTGGTTGAACAGGTTCACAGAGGGAATAGACTCAACAATTCTTTCAACAAGAGAGCGTGGAAGTCTATGTGTGATGACTTCTGTAAGAAAACTGGTTTGAAATGGGACAAGGAGCAATTGAAGAATAGATATGGGGTTTTGAGGCGGCAGTATGTTCTTGTGAAGTCTCTTCTTGATCACAGTGGCTTCAGTTGGAACGAATCTACTGGCGATATAATAGGCAAGGATGAAGCTTGGGCTGATTTTATCAAGGTATGATGCTCTATCGATACTTGTTATTTTGTGTGACCCCCCCCCCCCCCCCCAATCCAAGCTGATCTGCGTTCTTCATTGACAGGATCATCCTGATGCTGAAACCATAAAAAGCAGTGGCTGCTCAATCTACAAACAACTTTGTACAATATTCTCAGAGCCGACAACAAATGGGAAGCACGACTACTCAGCTGAAATTGGGAGAGAGGTTGGTTCCTCACTTCCTTCTTTGGAGCCCTTGAGCAGAATTCAAGAAGAGTCCTCGTCTGAGTCTGAGGAAGTAGAGGATGTGGCTGATGAACAGGATGCAGTTCAACCTTCTGCCCCTTGTGTAATTAGTAGTCGCAAGAGGGGACGCAAGGGAATTGATGATGCAATTGCAGCAGCTATATTGGAGATGGCAGCTGCTTCGAAGTTGAGGACAGCTGCTGTAAAACAATGTAATTCCAGATACAGCATAGCCAGTTGCATAAAAGAATTGGATGAAATGAAAGGTGTTGAAGAGCGAGTCTATTTTGCTGCTCTGGAGTTATTCAACAATCCTAATGCTAGGGAAATGTTCTTGTCTCTCAAAGGAGACAAGCGCTTGACTTGGTTGCATCGCAAGTGCGGTGCTCCATCCGACACCCAAGTTTGATGGAAGGAAATTTAGTAACTAACTAATCAAAAACCAGACAACTGATGGTTGTATATAAGGCTACCAATTATCATCCTCAAATGTAATATATATGACTTTTTCAACCATACTTCAAATCTTCAATACAAGAAATCCTCTAATAGGTATGTGAAAATATATTCCATAATGATCTATCAGTCTTATCTGATTTGGCAGGGAATTGAAAATTGTCAGCAGAAAAGCTATAGATGTGATTAGAATGCAGAATGAAACGTAGATTTGATCACTTCTTCAGCAGGCAATTTAAATTAATTACAACATGCAGCACAAATACCCTATAAACACATTCGTTAATAAAAAGAGTCTCATAATTCGGAAGGCAAAAACGTTAAAGAGAAAATTTCAAAGCATCCTACGTTTTTCTATGACAAAAACAAAATAAGGTATACAACCCTACATTCCTACTCGAAAACCCCTAGATTCCCACTGGAATTTTTTCTACTTCCTATACCATCTCAAAAATCACTTATCCAACACTACCCTTTAAAATGTCATTGGATTTTAATCATCCCCATCGAGGGTTTGCATAAAGATGGATCTGCACCAAAGATAAAACCATGCAGCAATTCTCTGGAGTCTGGACTCCAATCCAACTACCGAACAAGGCGAACATCTATACACAAAAGCAGGTTATTCATGGTAGCATCATTTTTGTCTGGTATGCTTGTCTTTTTTCAAGGGAGTATTCTCTTCTCATCATGCTCGTGATCAATACTCTTGGCTTGGTTGTACACAGATTCAAATGCTTGCATGCATACACTTGAAAATCCTACCATTGCCTGAAAGACATGTGGAAACCCCATCTGAAGGTTGTTCAAAGTCATCGCCCTTGTTACACTAACTGACTTCTCATGCTTATTCTTTTCCTCCTCTGCCTTTGCTCTCAACAAGTCAACCTTTGTTCGCTTTTCTGAAACAGGGTCCTTGTTCATTTCAGGCATGGAAAATGGACCGTACTTACTTTCCAGTGATCTAAGCTCAGCAGCCTTCTTCTCAAAATCTTTAAATGCAGAATCTGCCTTCTTCTTTTGCTTATATTCCTCTGCTTGCTGAACCACAATGGCATGGATTACTGTCAAGAAGCTCTTGATTCCTTCAGATGCTACCTTATCAGGAATCCTGTCAACTGCAAGATGCCATTCTTCACAAAAAGAGTAAATTTTCGATTCCTGACTGTTTCTTAGGAGTGGGTTTTTGCTGAACTGGAAAAGACTAAGCCGGAGCCAGCCTGCAAGGGACTGAATGTAGTCTTGTTGAGCCTTGACTAAGTTACAGAAAGACAAATGCCATTGCTGGACTTCAAGCTCAAGCTGGAGAGTTGATTGCTTGTGAATCTCAGATGTTGGCTCATTAGAAGGGATAAAGTTAAGGTACTTGAGCTGCTGAACTATGTGAGTATGAACTTGGTGGATCTCATACATGCTTCTCCACATGCACATCCACCTGCACAAGCAAATATATAACATCAAACTATGTAGTTATTTCTCCTAATAAGTTCTTGGCTATGGTAAGAAAAATATAACACAGATGAAAGGGGAGCATTTAGACAATAAACCTCATTGCAGATTAGAAGGAAGCATTAAGGATATTAAATTAGGTAAGAAGCCAATATTCTTCGTTGCAGGTAACCCCTGCAGCCAATCATCTCCGATTCAAAACCTAAGACATATGGCCGTCAACTTGGAATAATATAAATCCCATATGAGACCCAAATATATGGTTAGTCCATTAGTTAAAAGCCCGGTTGTGCAAATTTCGTACAATTAGGACTATAGGATTATCTTCCCTTGGAAGATACAGAGAAATTAAAGAAATTAACAAAATATTAAGGTTAACTCTAAATGGAGACCCCATTGGACTATTGTGCTACAGGCCATTATCCCTTCAACCTCAAACAATAGTACAAAGAGTACAATTGGAATAACCATGGCAGTAAAAGCAGTCAAAAAGAAATCCCATCTACAACTCTTATGACCCCAACAGGCCAATATAGCAGAAACAGAGTTGACTTTTAGGCTTATCTTGCTGCCATTGAACTGAGCATTCCAAGTTTTTATGGTGAATCCTGAATCTGCATTTCCCCTTGACTACAGTCCAAAGTCCAAACAGAAGCCCAGAATAATGTATGTTCATAAAGAGTAAAAGCCAAGTGAATAGGATAGTATGCCTCTCAATATGAATTATGTAGGGTCCCAAAGGTCGCCTTTTATGTAAAATTCCAAACAATGAATGAGCCACTATCTGATTATGTGGAGGATACTAATTCAATCTGCCAATAGCTTCCGTCCTGAACTAGAAAATGATGTAACAGTCACGTGTAAAAGTAAGGGCTATTGGCTCCAGCATTTAAATGCTCAAGGTAAAACGAAAAACAAGTACATGGCAGACGAGTTATAAAGAACCAAGACTAACCCTTTTACAAGGTCAAGGAGTTGAGGATAAAGCTCCGATTCTCTCAGTTTGATGATTTCAGTCGATGTAGTTTCAATGGCCTGTGAAGCAACCATCATTTGGGATTCTAATTTTTCAACTTCTTTCTTAGTCTTCTCAGTCTTCACATAGTCAGCTCTCTTCACCTCCAGCTTCCTCAGCTGTGCCACCCTCTTCTCATGCTCTATCTTTATAGCCTCCGCATTCTAAACAAGTCACCAAACAAAACTGCTAAATAAATAAAAAGAACATTAAGAATAAATGCATGGGCCACAGGATTTGACCACTCTTTTGACTCATCAGACATCAAATACGATTAGAAGTACAAGGTTTTCAACTTTTTGAACATCCATTCTTGGGCCCCAAAAGTTAAAAGCAAAGAACTCAGAATCGTTTTTTTTTTCCCCTGAAGAAGATAGTATAATTATAACTTGAATCAGAAAAAAAAAATTCAAAAGGAAAACAACTAAAAGACCATGCTTCAAGAATACACAAAATTTGTAACCATGGAATTGGATCTGGTACCTTGACCTCCTGGTATAATTTCTTCTCCCAAGCATACAATCTCTCTAAAGTAGAACAATGACCGCTGCTAAGAACACTACTACCTACATTTCCTGCAATCCTGTCCTCTCCCAACTTCCCAATTCCTTCCATTTTCTGATTCCAATTCCATGTCCAAGTTGTTGGAGTCAGATTGCAACCATAGTTATACACTTTACCTGCAACAAGAAAAAGCAGACGGAAAAGTAGAAATGAAACCCCACCAAGAAATCCAAAATTTGAAACTTTGGAAACGTAAAATGGAAAGAATGAGAGAGATGTACCTCCTTTATTTTGAGAAGAAAAAGCGGAATTTGAAACTTCTAATAGCAATGAGACCTGGCTGCCAGCATCAGCAGCTTTAAGAAAATACTCATCAACCTCTTTCACAATCTCCACCAATTCTTTACTATTCCTCGAAACCACCATAGCAAGCTCACTTCCCGTGTCTTTTGAGAACCCACTCACCATAGAAGGCGGCGCTCCTACGCTCGCAGCCCTGGTTGCGGTGGTTGTAGCGGTGGCCGCCACCTCATATGCTGAGGTGGCAGCCTCCCATTCCTCCTCTGTGGCTGACCGTGAAGCAGTAGCAGGAACAAATGGATCCCAGAAGTCCCAGCTACTCGATGGATGTGGAGGTGGAGGAGGCGGAGGCAGAGCAGGGGAGGCCGTGGTAGCAGATGTCCAAGTGTCTGAACCAGGACTCATTGGCGGCAGAGGAGGCGCCGGCGGTTGAGACGGCGGCTTGGCATGATGGTGGAGGTGGAGGTGGAGAGAAGTTTCATTGTTAGAAAATTGAAGGAGTGCTGAGCCTGTGCCTCGTAAAGAGCGCAGATACATAGAATGTGAAGCGGCAAGAGACTGTCTAGCTTTAACTAACTGTTTCATGTATCTCTTTCTCGCCTTAGAACGTGAAACAGTCTCTTCTCTATCAATCCTTGAATACCAACACCCCATTTTTCTTGCTTACCCCTCTTCTACAGATGAACTCTTTTTTTTTTTCTTCTTTCTAAAATTTGCAGCAAACTCAACCAAACAGTAAAAAGGAAACTGCTTACAAAGAAAATGACTTCTGGGCTATTTACTTTGTCGAAAGATCAGTTGCTTTTAACACCGCAGCTTTCACCAATGGCGGATCTTTCATCTTCAAGAAGCTATCTTTCACAACATAGAAGTTCAAAACTCTACTTCTTTGAACACGAAAATGCCTGTACTTGGCTGTTTACTTATTGGGTGATGGTGGAGGTAAGTGATGGAGAGAGAGCAGAGATTATCAGTTTTGAGAGGCACAAAGACAACCAGCATTGCGCAGAGAGCCAGACAATTTCTAAAGTCAAGTTTAATGACGAAATTACCCTCCTGGAATGTACTTTTCTTGTTTTTAAATTACTGCAACATACCCACTTGAACATGCAGCAGAGAAACACAGCCTGCCACCAAGCTGATATATATTTCATATATTAGCCAGTGGAAGATGTACGGGCGTGGCTGCTAGATTTGGAAAATTCTAAGGGCGTTCTCGTCATTTGCACATTTAAACGGCCATTGGAAAGCTTAATTTGGATATGGGGAAACTGGAAAGTCAAATTGGATCAAATCATATAAGAGGGATTATGAATGCTTCATTAAGAAGATAACATGATTATTCCATAATTGATATTCACAAGCGTTTGGGTTTTAAGTTAGAAGAAAGAGTAGTCGTTATAAGTGATAAAAAAAGCTTAAACTCCTGTAATATAATATGCTTGAACTTTGAATTTATTGAAAAAATGGAAAATCTCAACTCCACCATATATTTGAATCTTATTAGTTATCGTATAAGTTATAAGATTAGGTTAAAGCTGAAACAATTTTTTTTTAATTTGAGGTTGTTCTAATTAAATCTTATTATTAAAATTAAAAATTTAATATTTTATCAATTGGTTAGACGATGCTCAAACAAAATAAATTAAAAGAGTCATATGACTGTAAAAGATTGAATGAGAAAATGATATGAAATGAGAATTCTGTCTTTTCCATTTTCCTTCTATCTGATAAGGTTATTTGGTGTTGAAAAGAGGTGGAGAATGGTGCCTCTTGCCATGAAAGAATGCAGCATTGAACTTGAATCTTGCATGCTCATCTGATATACTTGCTTCCACTAATAGTCTACTACTCAGGCTCAGTAATCACGCTAGTTGGAAAAGAACTTAGTAGTAGTAGGAATTGCATTGAGAAATATTAAATCGTACATTCAATTGCTGGCCTTTTTAGGGAACTGTGACAGTGGAATGGAGACCAGCAGAGAACATTTCAGGATAACTGCTGAAAATATCATCTCCTTGGGACAACATTGCCCTTGTCGTCGTTTTTGAATTACATCCTCCTTACTTTGTTCTTAAATAGATATGCAACTTGTCTCGGCTGTCATCTTCTAAACTCTAGTAAAAGTAATAGAAAAGACTTTCATTCAAAATTTTTTATTAAAATTAATTAAAAAATTTTTAAAATTAAAAAAATTAAAATTTATAGATTAAAAGTTTTTATTATATAGATTAATTGTGTAAAATTTAAAAAGAATTAATAAATTTTGATAAATTTTTATATCGGTATTTTTAATAAAAATATTGATAAAATTTTTTATAGTTAAATAATTATTAGTTAAATTTAAATTATAAATAATTTTTTACATATTATTAATTTTTATATTAAATTTTATCAATTTATTAATTTAAATTTTTATTAAATTTTTTTAATTATTTTTTAAAATTACATACTTCACTTAAATAATTTTATTAGGGTTTTATCCTAAATTACTAGACTTCGCTTCACCTGATTAATAGAGTTTTATCCTAAATTACGAGACTTCACTTCACCTGTGACCACAGTTCACATCACACCAGTCCTTGATGAACATTGCTTTGTGCATTCCATGAGTTTTTGTTTGCACTTTATAAAAGCAAGTTGAACATTTAGTTTAAAAAAATATTGGTGTTATTATTATTTTTTTAAATAGATCAAAGTCCATAGTTTATTCTAATATCGTCAATCAAATCATCAGAAGAACAATGGTTTTATAATATTTATATATAGAAAACAATGTGAAGTCCATGATCATCGTCAAGTATCAAATCTGAATATCTTTTTGAGGGAATCACACTTAGCTGGCCAATCTCGCATGCTTAACTCTAAATTAACCTTATAGGCTGGCTCACATCACAGCATCATGCATGCTTCGCGCTACAAAACAAAACCTATATATATAATTTGGACAAATGCAATTGACAACTGATGAAAATCTACCTAAATCTTATACTTAAATTTAGTTGTGTCCTGAACCTAATGCATGCAATGGTCTGAAAGTAGCCGTTAACTTTGTGGTCAGACTCAGAATTCAGATTTTATTTTGATCAATACATTTAGGAATTGATTTTTTTCCTCTCCTGACTTATTAATTGTCGCCTAACTATTTATATTTCTCCCGCTGCTTTGATGTCAGGATAAGGACAGGCAAGGCATCGGGAAATTACGTACGCTGGTGATATTTTGGATTTACAACTTACTGGAGTTGTTGCAGTTGAGGTTACACAAGGTCCTACTATTGACTTTGTACTCAATATATATATATATAGATACATATATATATTATCTATATATAAAAATACGAATATCAAAAGATTAATAGTATTCGATCTAAATATTTTTATAAATTTTTAAAATAATAAATTTATCTTTAAATATATAATTTTTATTAATTTATTTAAGTTTAATTTAAATCAATTATAATTAAATTATTTAAAATTTTAAAATTTTAATTCTATAAGTATTAAAAATTATTGATTAAAATATGCTTGGTAAATTTTTTTATATATTTTAATTTAAATGAATTTTTTTATTATTAGACTATTTTTTATAAATTAAATTTAAAAAATGTTAAAAATGATTAATTAAAATATCCTTAATAAAATTTTAATTTCAAAATATTAAAAGTGATTGATTAAAATACAATTAATAATTTTTTTATAAATTTTAATTTAAATGATTTTATTTTTATTATTAGACTCTTTTTATAAATAGAATGATTTTCACATCAAATGAAAATATAAATAGAACAAGATCATAGCTTAACGTGTATAGATATAAAACAAATATATGGAGTTTATTTATTTAGTTATTGTAAAAATAATTGTATATGTAATTTATGTTAATAAATAAATTCATTTAAGATAATCATAATTAAGACATTGAAAGATATTTGTTTTTTTTTTTTGTTTTAATATATTAACTATATATATATGTTAATGATTTTGTTATTTATATGTTTTATGAGTTAATTATTTGATTATTGATAACACAATTAATCTTTTTAGTCTCTTGAAATAATACTTTAATATATTATTCTTATAGTTTAGTATAAGCTCTATAATTAATTTCTATTTTGTATTTTTTTCTCTAAAATTTTGTAATTGTTATTTTTATGAATAAAAACTAATATCAAATTAAATGTAAATCAATTGCATTCTATCTTTCAATAATTAGCCTTACGTAATTTATTAAATATTTTAATTGGACTTTTCACCTGTAGATATAGATAATTCATGAGATGTTGAAGCTACCAGTTGTTTAGGATTGTATCCCGTTAAATTGTCATAAGAATTGTTCACTTTAATTAAAACAATAACTATTTAGTTTTTTCTCAATTTTTATCTTAATATGCGTATATATAATTAATTTATATCTCAAGATTATTTAATTTTTCTCAATTGTATTAAATTACTATTTTTTTTTTTTTTGTTATTTAGGTGGTTGAATGACTAAATGTGAATTATTCAAAGTAAAAAATTATCAAAAGAAGTAAAATAAAATGTTTTTGGTGAATTCTTTCAAGGTATGACAAAATTCATTGCAACTATATTTTGAATATGTTTATGTCAAAGTTACATTGATTCATGAAAATTTACATTGTTAATGCTAAAAGCGAAAATCATTATAAATTGTATAAGTATTATATAACAAATTTGTAATTCTTGGAATTGAAATTTCTTTAAAAAAAATGATAAGTACTAAGGTTAGGATTTTATTTTACTTTTTAAAGTTATGTATTTTAATATTTTTATATAATAAAAATTTATGTATAATAAAATTTTTTAAATAAAAAATTAAGATTTCAATTGATAGAATGTACAATTACATTCAATTGATGGAAGCACTATATGAAGATTATTCTAAGTAAAAAAATGAGACGAATGATTGATTAGTTATGCATAACTCTATCTTCTCCATATGACAAAGAAGATTAGTGTTCTATGATATTTCAATGAAAACTATATAACTGTATTGATTTCAATTTTTTTAAAGATTAATATGAAATTTTTTATATGGAAAAACATTATATACTCATTCATTTTCTCTTTTATATTAATTAATGAATGTTCACTATTGTATCAAAATTTTTAAGGTTGTCATATAATATAATATTTTTTCAAAAGAATTGAAATTCATCAAATTAATTATCACTTGACTTCTAAAATAAAAATTATTATAATTATAATTTAACTAAACTTAAAAGTGATTTAAAAGTATCCATTAACAAAATTTATTTAATAAATCTTTATTTTTATTGTGTATTTAGTATTTTAATCATTTTAAGACTTCAGACCAATAACTAATTAGATTGAGTCAAGTTTTATCATATACTTCTATTCGTAATGTACTTAATTATTTACCTATGCACTTAAGCAAATTTAACTCAATAATTGGTGCATACTTCTCTTTGTTTAAAAAACTGGATTCAAATATTCCTAAATTCAAATAAAAAAGAAGTATACTCAAGTATATATAATTATAATATCACTTTAGAAATACTTTTAAAATTAATTAACTAATTTAACCATAAAGATAATAAAAATAAAACATTAAAAATGAAGGGAAAAAACTTAAATAAAGAACTTTAAAATTGTTACAAAAGATGAATAACT